GCGGGGATTGCATGCTGTCCTGGCTGCCATCTGGCGGTCCAGTACCGTTCCCCGTGATCTGTTGAGGCTCCAGAGACCGGAGCAATCTGGATTCACTTCTGGTAAGTCCATAATAGACCATATCCTTGCGATTTGAGTCATTGTAGAACGCCGTCGTGAGTTCGGGCGTGGGCTGCTTGCAGCCTACACCGACCTCAGAAGGTGATCGATACGGTGCATCGGGAATCACTCTGGGAGATCCTGAGACTGAGAGGAATTCCAACAAGGATTATTGGACTCATAGCAAGTCTGTATACTAGTACTGAGAGTGCTGTAAAGTGTGGTGGGGGCTTGTCTAGCTTCTTTCCTGTTAGTTCAGGAGTGAGCCAAGGCTGTGTCCTTGCACCAACACTTTTCAACACTTGCATGGACTGGATAATGGGCAGAGCTACTGTTCAAAGTCATTGTGGAGCAACTCTGGACAATATCAAGGTTACTGACCTCGACATTGCTGATGATGCTGCCATTCTATCTGTCTTTGGAATCCTTAGTGGTGGCTCTAGATGCATTTGTAATGAAGCAAAGCCCTTCGGTCTAGAGGTCTCCTGGACCAAGACCAAGATCCAGGACTTTGGGGACTTGTTAGGAGAACCTGTTCAGTCGGTAACTGCTTGCGGTGAGAACATGAAAGTCACAGATAGCTTTACATACCTTGGTAGTGTGGTTCATAACTCTGGGCTGTCAGACCAGGAAGTCAGCAGACAGATTGACCCCGCAGCAAGGGTCATGAACTCTCTCGACAAGAGTATTTGGAGATGCCGACACCTGTGCAGACGGACCAAGCTACGCATCTTCAAGGCCCTGATAATGCCAGTTTTGTTATACGATAGTGAAACCTGGACATTATCCTGTGCCTTAGAGTCACGTCTTGATGCCTTTTGTAATAGGCCCTTGTGCTGGATCATGGGATACTGTTGGCCGGACCACATGTCAAACCATCGGTCGCACAATCCGTGATCGTCAACTCAAGCTATATGGCCTCCCTGCTCATAATTCAAATACAGGATGATCCTGCCCACCTGGTTGNTATATAAATATATATATATATATTATATATATATATAATATTATATATTATATAATAGAAAGATGAATAATGCATTACCGCATTTTTTCATGAATATTATAACCTCTCCGAACGGGATTCGATCCCTCGCACCAATGCACGTGAAATGTAAGACGGCCGCTCTACCACGGCAGGTTGTGGAGCCCAACGTCCACAGTTTCATTTATATATCTTTATATACACACGTGTGTATATATAAACATGTTATTATACATACATATATACATACATATATTAATATATATATATATATATATATTATATATAATATATATATATTAATTATATTTATGTTTGTGTGTTAGTGTATGTGTGGTACATATATAGAGTTACATATGTACGTATAAAATAGATATGTACGTGAGTGTAATATATGTGTATGTGTGTTTATTTTGTATGCATGCGTCATACCCAGCATCTCCTCTCGGGGATCTGTGACGCACCTTGCATCCTGGCCTGCCCAGTGTCTCCCTCCTCTTGACACCTCTCATGCTCCCCTTCGCCATTCTGAGTTTTGATCTTGACTCTCTTCACTAGCCTTCAGCTTGATAACTTCATGAACACAGCCTTGTTATCAGATTTCCTGACATAGATGAACTCCAAACGTGTCCTCCACATCCGTGATCTCTAGTACCTGGATAGAAAGAGCAATATAATATGTCGCTCCTGTAATTGTACAACTCTCGTCATGGTCTCGACGTAGCGTTATCCAGGGCAAGGCGTACCTTTTATCACGACTCTTCATTTGCCTGATGTCATCCTCCCCTACACTGAGATCTATTCTCTCCGTCGCCCTCTTAACTGCAGGCTTATCCAATGCCAACTAAACACTGTACCTCCAAGGTAAGCACCTGTGCTATTCCCTGTGTCTCCTGTAATAGATATTACTTTAGTGAGACAGTCGTGAGTCTCACTAAGCGTCAGTCTCAACATAAATACGGGGACAACAACAATGCACTCCTCTGCCATCAGTGGGACATAGGCCATCAGATGGATTGGTCAGCTGCGTATATCTTTCCTTCCGATGATATCCAAGTCCGCAGATTGGTGGAATCCTCCTTGATTCAGGCCTCTTTTACACGAGGCAACTAGTGTCCGACATCGGTGGCAGACACTAGTTGTTTCCTCGTGTGAAACAGGCCAGACACTGGTGTCCGCCTCAAGTGAGCAGACGGTGGCGTGGTGTGTGGTGTCACTGTGATGTTGCGTGGGTAATATGGTATGGTGATCTGTGGTGGTATGATGTGGTGATGGTGTGTACGGTGATAGTGTGTGTGGTGACATTATGGGGTGTTGCATATGGTGACATAGTATGGTGGTTTATGGAGGCATTCTGTGGTATCATACAAGCCTAGATGTCACTGAGCGAAAGGTGTGAAAGCTTCCATTTGAAACAACCTCTATGTAAGTACTAACAAAGACGAACACACATGAATACATACATATAGATATGTATATATATGTGTGTGTGTGTGTACACTCACTCATTTCCGTTACCATTACTGTTACCGCTCAATCAAATGCTGGGAAACTTCATTTTTTCAGTAAAAGTGATATTACAACCAATTTATTGCAAATAAACTTTATTTTTGAAATGTAATACGCTATATATATAAAGGTGTAACATATAAGTTATTACATTACAAAGATTATGGTACGTATACAAATTTGATTAACCACTAAAAATGAAGCATTTTGATACACGTACAAGTTACCGTTGCCACTGATACCCATCAAATGCTAGGATTTTTTCTCGGTAAATGTGATATAAAAATCAACTAATAAACTTTGATTAATAAACTTTACTTTTGAAATGCAATACATTATATATATATATTTGAAGCGTTAAACAATAAGCCATTACATTACAAAGATTATGGCACACTTGTACAAATTTCATAAACCACTGAAAGTGAAACATTTTTATACAGAAAATAGAATGATGCGGAACAATTGGAAAAGAAGTTGCAACCAATTCAGACACTTTACAGTTGATTTCAACGAAAGAATAAATACATCAAAATTTAATCAAGACAAATGTTTCACTTTTTATGGCCTAGGATTCTCCAAATGACTACGATCAGAACCGTTAAGGCTTGAAATATATTACATAAAAGTCTTCCCTTAAACCTACTCGTTTTCTTTGTTACATTCGCAAAAAAATAGAAAGCGAAAGAAAGAAACGAAATACAGTTCGTCGTTTACAAGCTCGGCGTCTGATAGAGTCCATTAATGCCATTAATTGCCATTCCCGTTACCATTAGGGGCACCATAGTAATATCCATCCGTTCCCATTACCATTACCGTTCCGTTGCCCCATTCCCATTGCCATTTCCGTTACCATTCCCGTTGCCGTTGGTTATCCATTTCCGTTACCATTACCCGTTGCCATTGAAACACCATTCCCATTGCCATTGGTAATACCATTACCGTTGGTATCCGTTACCGTTGGTATCCATTTCCGTTACCATTACCATCCATTTCCGTTACCATTCCCGTTGCCGTTGGTGTATCCATTTCCGTTACCATTCCCGTTGCCGTTGGTGTAACCATTTCCGTTACCATTCCCGTTGCCGTTGGTGTATCCATTTCCGTTACCATTCCCGTTGCCGTTGGTGTATCCATTTCCGTTACCATTACCGTTGCCGTTGGTGTATCCATTTCCATTACCATTACCATTCCGTTACCATTGTGTATCCATTTCCGTTACCATTACCGTTGTAATCCATTTCCGTTACCATTGTTGGTATCCATTTCCGTTACCATTACCCGTTGGTGTATCCATTCCGTTACCATTACCGTTGCCGTTGGTATATCCATTTTCCCGTTGCCATTTCCGTTACCATTACCGTTGCCGTTGGGTATATCCATTTCCGTTACCATTACCGTTGCCGTTGGTATATCCATTTCCGTTACCATTACCGTTGCCGTTGGTATACCATTTCCGTTGCCGTTGGTGTATCCATTTCCGTTACCATTACCGTTGCCCATTTCCGTTGGTATATCCATTTCCGTTACCATTACCGCCATTTTGCCGTGGTGTATCCATTTCCGTTACCATTACCGTTCCGTTACCATTACCGTGCCGTTGGCCATTTCCGTTACCATTACCGTTGGTGTAACCGTTGCCATTCGTGTACCCATTTCCGTTGATATTACCAATCTCAGCATTCAATCCGTAGAACTGTTCAGCCGTGGAACAGTCAAAGTTGTACCACCAATCGCACACGAAGTATTGCTGATTAAACACTGTGCCGTTGGGACAAAGGAACGAGTCGATCCTGCCTCCTGCCTGACAGATGTGGAACACCTGAAATACATCAATTTTGACTTAAATTTGTTTCATGGATAGAGGCAGGTAGATTAATGGAAAGCAATGAGGTTCATTGACCTCAAACAAAACATACAATGTTTGGAAATTTCACTGAAATACATGTCATTACCATCACAATAATATGAATCAACGAAATATGTGTAGGAATACTTTAGAATCTATCAAAATATTTGTTTTACGAATATCTTTGGTAACTCAGCAATGACGATTTTAACTGTAGAGATAACAATGTGTGTGTGTGTTTAGAAGGTTATTGAACATGAATGTAAATCAAATTAATTTCTCTCGATACATCTGTACGTAGCTCTGTTCAAGCCACGCCCTACTCTATTCCTGCTTTATACATGCACTTGGAAACACCAAGGGAAAAAAACCTGAGAAAAACCGTATTAGAACGATCCCTTCCTATTTATCTCGTTTCTTTTGAACTAAGGTTTCTTTTAGACAGGACCTGGCACTCACCTGGCAGCCGGCCTCGGGAGCAGTGTCGGCGTAATATCCAGGCAGTTGGCCGTTGCAGGAGAAGCCGGTGGCGGGGACGAAGGCCAGGAGGATGGGTAG